CCCCCCCCCCCCCGAAACCTTTCCTCATCCTGCTAGATTGGATGGATCTTTTTTAATCCATGCAGATCTTTGGGTGGTGGGTCCCACCAGCATCCAGGGTGAGTTTGCCCAGGGTTGAAGGTCTCTGCAGGCCTCCTGGGAAGCAAGTTGGAATCTCAGACCTCAGAAATCACTCTGATCTCCAAAAAAAATAGTGGCACGGTATTTAGGGGGGGAAAAACACTCAATTTTGGATAATGTCTGCCAAGACTCTCTTCAATAAAGGAGAATGTTTGTAGCTGAGGGTCGAAATGGGGGGTGGGGTTCTTGTTGCTCTCTGGGCTCAGTGGTTTTCTTGCAGGCGTTTCATGACCCAACTAGGTAACATCATCAGTGCCAGAGAAGAGAGTGGGTTGTGTGGAATGGAAGAGGAGGAGGAAAGACTGGTGTCTCCTTTGTGCTTTCCAAGCTGGGTTGTTTTCTTGCAGACATTTCATGACCCAACTAGGTAACAATCATCAATGTTTGAAGAGAGTGCAGTTTGTTCTCTCTTCCTTTGTGGCACTGATGAGGTTACCTAGTTGGGCAGTGAAACGTCTGCAAGAAAAACAAACCAGCTCAGAGAGCAGCAAGCATTCCTCAAAGCTCTTTTCCAATTCAAGTTGACCATCCATCATCCTGGCTTTTGTCCTTGTGGACGTAGCCATCTTGCCCATTGAGGGACAGGCCTCCAAACTTCAGTGGGGCACATGGGTTGAAGCATTGCTACGCACAGCCCTTCTCAACCCACACTGCTTTCAAGTAACTTGCAAAGCCGGCTCTTCCCTCAATAAAATGTTTAATTCCTTCCCGATAATCTTTCCAGGATTGGAGGGTGGGATGTTTGGCTGCAGTGTGCGGGCACGTAGGGGAGAAAAACGACTTGCACGACCGTTGGCTCACGCCAAACCATTTACATTTGGGGCACGCATACATCCTGTGTAATGGAGGACAGACAGGCCCCTGGGGTGCCTTGGATGAAGGAAAACAAGTGGGGTGGGTGGAGGAATAAAGGAAAGAAAGATGCCTTAATCTCAACCCTCAACTTTTTTAATCTCAACTTTGCTCCATTTTTGAACTTTTCTTCCGGGAAGTGCGTGTTTTCAGACCTTAACTTCCTCCAAACTGCACATTTCTCGCAAGATTGTGAGTTTTGCACGTGAGAAAAATCTAGCTGTCCTTCGTTTTTCTTCTTCTCCTTGGTGGTCATTCCGAGTTTTAAGCAGGTGCTAAAATATCTGTCTATGTTTGCAGGTTGGGGCTTCGAATATAATGATTAGAAGAGGAAGCCAGGCAGGTTTTCCTCCCGGGAGGGATGTTCAAGAAATCCCCAAAACTTTCCTTGATGTGCTTAAATCTGCACGTTCATTGCTTTAGCAGGTGTGTGATGCACCACTCGTCTTTTGGATGTCCTTGAGATGTTTTTTTCGTAGTGGTCTTGTACTCAGCAGGCCTGGGATCCATCTGTTAAATTCACCACTAACTGCCAGAAACAAGCGAACATAATTCACTAACACACACACACACAGAGACACACGCACATGACCTCACACACATACATACACACACAAGGTGACCTCAAGACTTCCAGCCTTCCAAAAGGGCTTTAAAATTTGGAAGTCCCATCAGGCTTGGCGATCCAAGGCAGCGTGCAGCCCGTTGAGATTTATGTATAGTTAACAGAATACTAACAGAATAACTGTATTGGAAGGGACCTTAGAGGTCTTCTAGCCCAACCTCCCTGCTCAAATGGGACCTTATTTCATTTCAGACAAGGGCTGTCCAAGCTCTTAAAAACCTCCAGTGATGGAGCACCCACAACTTTTGAAGACAAGCTGTTCCACTGGTTGATTGTTCTCACTCTTAGGAAAACTCTCCTTGTCTCCTGGTTGCTTCTCTCCTTGGTTAGTTTCCACCCATGGCCTCTTGTCCTGCCTTCAGGTGCTTTGGAGAATAGGTGGACCCCCTCTTCTTTGGGGCAGCCCTTGAGATATTGGAAGACTTCTATCACCCTCCAAGTTTCTAATGGTTTTTAAGGATAGAAGATTCCGATTTTACTTGTGTTTGAACTCTGTTTATAATCCGGAGTTTCCTACAAGTGAGATGAGAGGCTAGATAAATCTATTTAATAAATAAGATCTGGCTGTTTTTCTTTTGAGGGGTCCTTGGTGCTTTCTGAGCTTGGTTGTCTTCTTGCAGATGTTTCAATGACCCAACTAGGGAACATCATCAGTGTGTTGATTATCCTTGATCATTAAACACTGATGACGTTCCCTAGTTGGGTCGTGAAACGTCTGCAAGGAAACTACCAAGCTCAGAGATCACCAAGGATTCCTCATTTGAAATGTGAACTACGTGTATTTTATCTCTCTCTCTCTCTTTCTCCCCCACCCCCCGAAACAGCTCAGAAAGATCTGAGGAAATCGATGCAACCCATCTCAACTTGGCTCCACCACCATGGCTGCCGCCCCTCAATTCAACTCGGATGCCCTTCGCGAAGTTTTGGAGTGCCCCATCTGTATGGAGTGCTTCAATGAAGAACACCTGCGGCCCAAACTGCTCCACTGCGGCCACACCATCTGCAAACAGTGTTCAGAGAAGCTCCTGGCCAGCAACATCAATGGGATCCGTTGTCCCTTCTGTAGCAAAGTCACCAGGATCACCAGCCTGGCTCAGCTGACTGACAATCTCACCGTCTTGAAGATCATCGACACGGCCGGGCTGAGCGAGACCGTCGGCGTTCTCATGTGCAAAGCCTGTGGACGGAGGCTGCCCAAGCAGTTCTGCAGGAGCTGCAGCCTGGTGCTGTGCGAGCCTTGCAAAGAGTCGGAACATCTCCAGCAACATCACAACGTGGTGGCCATCAAAGAAGCCGCCGACGAGAAGAGGAGAGACTTCGGGGCCAGGCTGGGTCGCCTCCGAGAGCTGATGGGGGACCTTCAGAAGAGGAAAGTGTCTCTGGAAGGGGTTTCGAAGGACCTCCAAGGCAGGTACAAAGCTGTCCTCCAAGAGTACGGCAAAGAAGAGCGCAAGGTCCAAGAAGAGTTGGCCAGGTCGCGGAAGTTCTTCACCGGCTCCCTCTCCGAGGTGGAGAAGGTGAACAGCCAGATCATGGAGGAACAAGCTTACCTCCTCAACATTGCCGAGGTCCAGATCGTCTCACGCTGCGATTACTTCCTCGCCAAAATCAAACAGGGAGACATCGCCCTCCTGGAGGAGGAAGGAGAAGAGGAGGAACCGGAGTTGATGAACAGCCTTCCCAAAGAGCTGACCTTGCAAGAGGTGGAACTCCTCAAGGTCGGTCATATCGGACCCCTCCAGATAGGACAAGTAGTCAAAAAACCCCGGAGCATCAACATCGAGGAGACCTTGATGGAGACAACGGCGGAAGCGTCGGGGTCCTTCAGAGAAGCAGATCTCCCTGCGGAAGAGGTCAACCCGTTGTCCCATTGCTCTTCGCCTGCAAAACCAAGGATGCCCGAGGCGACCTCCAGCATCCAGCAGTGCCACTTCCTCAAGAAAATGGGCTCAAAGGGTAACACGCCAGGCACGTTCAACCTGCCCGTCAGCCTCCATGTCACCCCGCAAGGAGAGGTCCTCGTGGCGGACCGGGGCAACTTCCGGATCCAAGTCTTCACCCGTAAGGGTTTTTTGAAGGAAATCCGCCGGAGCCCGAGCGGGATCGACAGTTTCGTGCTCAGCTTCCTTGGGGCCGACTTGCCCAACCTGACTCCCTTGTCGGTCACCATGAACTGCCACGGGCTGATCGGGGTCACCGACAGCTACGACAACTCGATGAAAGTCTACACCCTCGATGGGCACTGTGTGGCATGCCACCGAAGCCAGCTGAGCAAGCCGTGGGGCATCGCCGCCTTGCCTTCCGGTCAGTTTGTGGTGACTGACGTCGAAGGAGGCAAGCTGTGGTGCTTCACGGTGGACCGGGGTGTCGGGGTGGTGAAGTACAGCTGCCTCTGCAGCGCCGTGCGACCGAAATTCGTCACTTGCGACGCCGAAGGGACCATCTACTTCACCCAGGGGCTGGGCCTGAACCTGGAGAACCGCCAGCACGAACATCACCTGGAAGGCGGCTTTTCCATTGGCTCCGTCGGTTCGGACGGACAGCTGGGCCGACAAATCAGTCACTTCTTTTCCGAGAACGAAGATTTCCGCTGCATCGCCGGCATGTGTGTGGACTCACGGGGGGATCTGATTGTGGCCGACAGCAGCCGCAAAGAGATCTTACATTTCCCCAAAGGTGGCGGCTACAATATCCTCATCCGAGAAGGTCTGACCTGCCCCGTTGGCATAGCTGTCACTCCCAAAGGTCAGTTGTTGGTGCTGGACTGCTGGGATCATTGCATTAAGATTTATAGTTACCACTTGCGAAGGTATTCCACACCTTAAGATGGGAAAACACACACACACACGCATCTCTTTGTCCTCCACTCCCTCTTCCCATATCAATTCTTCCAAGGTCGGCTGACCGATAGTGGTGCCAACACGTTTTGTGCCATAAACGTCAAAACTGGGGCGATAGTTGCTCCGATTTTTAGCGTGTGTTTGTTTTAGAACAAAGACTGCACGTTTCTGTTTGCAAGCATAGAGTGTGTTTTGTTTTTCTTTTTAACACACACACACACACACACACACCAGAATTCACGACTTCTTGGTAAGAGGAGCTGCCTGGCAACGCAGTCTTCGTCCAAACACAACTTTGGACTTGGCACTCTAGCTGCAGGCAACAGGCAAAACGGTTTGCGGTGATGTCAACTGGCCAATGGAAAAACCCTTCTGAAGTAGAAAATCAGCCAGCTGCGAGAGGTGTGAGTTAAGTTGGGTTCTGCACACCCAACTTAAGAAGATGCTGGATGGATACAAGAGAATTTTTCTCCATCCTTTCCATCTCATTTTTTTGGGCAAACTCTTTCTTTCTCCATTCATGTGTACAAATGCTAAATGCCTATATGTGTGCATGTTTTTTTTTTTAAAAAATCCCATTAACCCTGGCCAGCTCTCTTCACTCCCCACTCTTGGCACCTTTCACAAAACACAACTGCACTCCTTATAAGCCAACCCACAGGATCAGGAAACTAACACTCCACTTCAAAAGCAACTTCTAGTGGTTGTTTTTAAATGCCTCCAAAATGCTAAAGCTCCCGTTTTTTGTTTTTTTTTATGTCCTCCCATCTGAGGCCTCTTGTCTGACGTGAAGTAGGTCTTGTTTGGTTTGAAAAAAACAAAAGAAAAGAAACTGGAAACTTTTAAAAAGTCTGTAACAAAGAATGTTTGTTTAGAGGTGTGTTTTTCTCCCCCCCTTCTCTTTGCAAATCTTTACTCCGCTATCTTCTGGCTTTTTTTGAGGGGCGGAAAGGTGGGCAGGGGGAATATTGTTTGGGAAAGTCATTTCTCCAGCTGACAGTTTCCCAATTGTGAGAGAAATGGGTGTAAAAACAATCAGATGTGACAAATGATAGGTTTAATCCTGCATTCCACACCACTGCACTGCGCTGATGAGTTTCTACTTTCGGGCAAAAATCCACGTGTGTCTCTCGGAGGGAGGAAGGGTCTTCTTGCCATATTAAGTCGGATTTTTCTGCCAAGGAGACGCAAAGTTCCTTGACACAGCAAGATGCCTTCCTGCTAGGTTTGATTTTAAAGCAATGCAACTATAAAAAAAAATGTTGAGACTCTAGAAAGAGTGCAGAGAAGAGCAACCAGGATGATGAGGGGACTGGAAGCTAACACAGACGAAGAACTGTTAACAGGAACTGGGCCGGGATAGTCTAGGGAAGAGAAGGGCCAGGGGAGACAGGATAGCAGTCTTCCAATTTCTCAGGGGCTGCCACAAAGAAGAGGCAGTCAAGCTATTCTCCAAAGCACCTGAAGACAGGACAAGAAGGATTGGATGGAAACTAATCAAGGAGAGAAGCAACCTAGAACTAAGGAGAAATTTTCTGGCCGTGAGAACAATCATCCAATGGAACAGAAGTTACATTCGGAAGTTGTGGGAGCTTCATCCCTGGAAGCTTTTAAGAAGAGACTGGACTGCCATCTGTCAGAAATGATGTAGGGTATTCCACTTGGGCAGCGGGTTGGACTAGATGACCTACAAGGTCCCTTCCAACTCTGCTATTCTATATTCAATGGAACAGCTTGCCTTTGGAAGTTGTGGGAGCTTCATCTCTGGAAGCTTTTAAGAAGAGACTGGACTGCCATCTGTCAGAAATGGTGTAGGGTCTTCCGCTTGGGCAGGGGGTTGGACTAGATGACCTACAAGGTCCTTTCCAACTCTGTAATCTAAACTGTTGTAAGACTACCTGTGTTCCAGAAGGGGCATCTTGCTTGCCAAGGCTACTTACAAAAAGGCATATCTAGAGATGATGGAAATTGGAAGGAATGAACTGGAGTGGGAATGTTTTCCTCCAATTGCAGCTCTGCTTCCAATCTGTTCATTTCATAAATAATATGTTGGGAACTGTTTGCTATGCTTCACACACACACACACACACACACACACACACACACACACACGAGAGAGAGAGAGAGAGAGAAATATTGGCGTTTACAAGCTGTTGGTTGCAGGTAATTCCTGCCGGTTTGGCTCAAAAAAGAAAAAAGCCATCTAGCACCTATAAGTATTTGTCTCATGTACTATTCTGAATTTCTTTTTCATTATTTTTTTTTGAGGTGGGGGGGAGGAAAGAAGTAAGATTTATTTCAAGGGGATTTAAAATAGACTCCATTCAGCTGATGCAGCGCTGAGCTGCCGGTTGTGCTAGCCAAATTGTCACATTGCTGTTGCAGTGACCATCTGTTTCCCCGCTCACTTTGCAAAAAGGTATGCATACATACCTGTCACACAGGGTGGGTGTCTTTTTAATCATCCACTTAACCCCTTGCATTTATTAGTCTTATACATTCTCTCGCACCCCCACTTCTGCGAAGCAAAAAAAAAAAAAGGGTGGGTTGGGGAGAAGGAGACCTGCTCTAAAGGATTGAACTACTGGCAGCGGGCAGAATTAGCCTGCAATACTGCATTGTAACCACTGTGCCACCATGGGAAGGGAGGAGAAAAGATCTTACTAGGCCTACATGATGTCTGTTTGGATCTGAGGGACCTGTCTTTGGTGGGCTTGCTGTTTAACAGAGAAGACGATGAGGAGGCCATTATTTTTTTATCCCTCAAATCCTGACTCACAGCCTTATGGTCTAGGTTGCTCTCTCGTTCTAACCACTGCTCCACCAAGTCTCTTCTCTGGATATCGGACAGCCAGCGAAGCTGATAATTCAGAGCCAGCGTGGGCATCCCAATGCCCAGAAAGGATTTTGACTTCCCGTCAGGGATAAGGGCCATATTGCGAACCCTCCGAAGGGCCACCAATTTGCTGTATGCGGGAGGAACGTGATGCCACAAAGCGAGCTCAACACCAAACATACTGAGAACTGAGGTTTTTCCCTTTCCCCGCCATATGTCTTCTCTAAACATCATCGCCTTTCTTGTTTAGAAGTCTTCCTGGTTTCACCTCCTAGCAAACTGACAGCACTTAATATCCCTGTTTGCTCTGACAATAACACCTCCTGTGAATTATTAACCAGATGGTTACAATTTGTCACCTGCCCAAAATCTTCTCTGCGAATGCCTTGGGTTCCTAGGTGCATTTGTGTATGCGTGTGTTTAAAAAAATATATATAGAATTTTGTTGTGTGACAGAATTCGAACGCAACATAAAGCAACGTTGAATTATTCAACTTCAGTCACCTTCCTCAGTTAGGAAAGAAAGGATGGATGGATTCTGAGGGAGAGAGAGGGGGGCAGGAGGGGAGAGGAGAGAGGGAGGGAAAGGAAGGATTCTGAGGGAGGGAAGGAGGGAGGGGCAGGAAGGGAAAGGAGGAAGGAAGGGAAAGGGAGGGAGGGAGGGGAAGAAAGGATTCTGAGGGAGGGAAGAAGGAATGAAAGGAGGGAGGGGAGAGGAAGGAAGGATTCTGAGGGAGGGAAGGAGGGAGGGGCAAGAAGGGAAAGGAGGAAGGAAGGGAAAGGGAGGGAGGGAGAGGAAGGAAGGATTCTGAGGGAGGGCGGGAGGAAGGAA